AAAAAAAAAAAATTCTCAGGATAAAGGGTACATGACTCAATCTCACTAGATAAGGACCTGGTGAAGGCAGGGAATGGTGGAAAAAGAGGATGGGAAGGAAAGTGGGGCTGGTCTGTTTAGGATGGCTGTTCATTAATGCCTTCATTTAAAGTTACACTTGTTCCCTTAGGTCCTGTAAACACAGGCTGGGTCACTTGTCCTTACCTATTTGTCCTTGTCTGTGCCCAGGTGGTGTTGTGAGAACCAGGAGCAGTTGCCTGGGGTGGGGAATTGTAATAGATGGAAGGATCTGTTCTACCCAGGTACTCTTTGTGTCTTTTCTCCACAGTGGGACCCTGAAGATGTGAATCTTGAAAGACACAAAGACAGCATGGAGATGCTCGGATCCCACGTGCACAGGGGCTCTTTGAGGCCCATAGACTTGACCTCTGATGATTAACACTAACACCTTTTGGAGCCAGCCCATCAGCTCAGAGCCAGTCAGGTGTTTGTCAGTAACTGAGCATGGATCAACCTGCTCTGACATCCATGGCAGGAATTTAAGCTGCTGCAGAAGCTGCCCAGGAAAATGAGGAACCAGGAGCTGTCACGGAGCTGGGCTCATCTACATCATGGCTCAAAATGGAGCTAAGACTTTGGGTCCTGTGGACAGACTGGGATAGGTCCAGAGTTTGTTCTGAAGATTAGAAGTTCACAGACGGCTCTTGCTTTGTAAAGATAAGCCTTCATCCAAAGGACATTGGACCTTTTCCCTTTATTCCCTTGAGATTGAACCACAAACTCAATACCTGCTAGATGCCAGGAATGAGCTCACCTAACAAATAGCTAATGTGTTTGTATCTCAGCAGAGCCCATTCTTCAAGACCTGGCTAAGCCCCGGAGATGAGCGGGGTAGACCCACGTGCTGGGGTGTTTGGGGTACACAAGAACTGACGGTTCTCTGCCCTCCAGTCACCCACTTGAGTTAGCTGCTGGAAGTTACAGATAGGACTGCTCGGTCAAGCGTTTGTGAGCTCACTGGTATTGCAAGGACATGCAAAACAAATTGCTCTGGATACCAGGACTTCCTCCAACCTGGCAAGGTGTGTGCTGAGGCAGGGTTTGCAGGTGAGGGGGACTGTATGCTTCAGGAGGTAACTAAATGCATGCAGAGGATAAGAGGCATGATGGGAGGTGTTAAATTCAAGCACAGCAATCCCATTTTGGGACCATTTTGATACTGTGATGAGTGACGGGAAGGGTGTAAGGAACGGGGCTAAGGTGGGAGTGAACACTGGGGTGAATAAATTCTGATTGAATGAAGTATCTCACTGTGGGGTACAGTATGACTCCCAGCACAGTCATAGAAGTCTGCCACGAGGGAAACTGGGAGAAATGCCAAGAAACAGCTCTGCTCCTGGCTGACCCACAACTGCCCGTGTGACTCAGCTGCAGCTGCCCGGTTCCTCCTGAGGAGTAGTGCAAGCCCCAGCAGCACAAAGGGGGTGCCTCGGGGAAGCAGGTTGGTTCTCCAGGTCTCTGCATAGATCCGAACCCCCTGGGTGGCTTCTGAACTAGAAGTGAACTTAAAGCCACCATATTTATCCCCTTTACCTGAACTGTGTTGCTCCCTGGTTGTCTTTTAAGGGAAAGTTGGCTAACGTCAGCTTTGCTTTGTGATCTTAACCACTGAAGCTGTACTTTGAGGGAAGAGTAGGATTCCAATGGAGGTGGAAGGGGCAAGCATTCCAGCAGATGGAATGCTATGGAGGACTGGAGGCAGGGAAAGGTGGAATCTAGACAAGGAGAATCTGATGTGGCCAGAATGGATGGTGCCCTATGGGCTGTGAAGGTGGGAGAAGAGGCTGGAAAGGGACCAGACTGGAGGCTAGGGAGTTGTGCTTGATCCTGTGGCCAGTTGGTAGCCATGGAAGTTACCAGACTAGGAAGATGACTGACTTGTCTCAGGCCACACCTAACTGCTGAATTTTTCATCTTTATGTCTATGACTTTTCAGGCAGCAGAAATGTACAGTCATGGGTACACAGCGAACATGAGGAACATGTTTAAAGAGTATAGTAGTAACAGCAGGGTGGGAGGACTTATCTTTAGAAAGGCCGAAGTCATAGGGATAGGATGACATCTCTGGAGTTTGCCTGTAGCATATCCCCTCTCTCAAGGGAAGGTTGGATCATGCCTCCTGGGGCACCAGAAATCAGTTGGACCCTAGTGGAAGTGGCCGTTCACCCAAGAATATCAAATAATCTTGCTGACTTTGAGTAGCACAAATTACTTGAGTTCCAGATGTTATCTATCTCCCTAGATCCCATCATCCCACCCTACACCCTTCACAAGCTAGTTCTTATCATTGTGGTCTCAGCTTATCTCAAAGCTGAGACTCAAGTCTCTTCATCCACAGTGAAACACTAAACTGGGAATTTTGAAAGCAGTTTGGCTTCATTGTTCAATGAGAATCTGCATGTATGCAAAGCTCTAGAACAGTGTAGCCTTTGTGAAGAGGTGCCAATCAAAATGCCTTTCTCCTAGTAGGAGTGGGCCTCTGTTGCAGCTTCATCTCTAGCCAGTAAACTGGCCGGGAAGGCAATGGGAGACTTTCCCTGATGACCCACTGAGTGATGGAAGGGAGGGGCTGGGGAACAAACCACAAAATCATCCTCTCCTGCCCACTCACGTGGAGATGTGTAATATAGTCTGGTTGTGCTATCTATCACCTGCATGGCTTGGAGTGTGTTAACCTAACCTTTGTGAATTCCTGAGGTAGACTGAGAATAATGCCAATCTAGAAAGCTTGTGATGAAGACTAATTAACATATGAAAATGCATAACACAATACCTGACTCAAAGCAGACTTTGAAGAGGGATTAGTTTTCTTCCTCCCTATACTTCCTGCACATGTGCTGAGACAGTAACCAAAGAATCTGACCTACAGATGGAAGGGATTTCAGAGGTGAGAATCCCCTTAACAACCCCAGTTAGTGATTGATTATCCAGCCCCTACTTAAACTTCTCTAAAAAAGATTTCACCTATTTCAGCTGCCAAAGAAGTCTTTATCATTTAGGGAGAGCTCTGATCATTAAGATTTTCTTAAAAGCCTGTCTAGATCCTGAAGAACTAATCTCTATCTCCCTCCAGCACTTCAGTATGAAAAGGCTTATGAGCATCACCTGATGACACCACTCGATAAAATGTTTGTTACAGTGGGGTATGAGCGCCTAGAGTAAGGAGAGGCACAAGGCCAAGGAGCATGGCTGGGCTCCAGTTCCTAGGTCTGATTCAGTGTGATCCTTGTCAAATCATTTCCCTTTCTGAGTCAGTTTCTTCATCTCTAAAATGAAAGTTAGGCCAGATTTTACTTTTTTCTCTTTTGTGAATATGGCAGTCTATTTGTTTCCCATGTAAAACTGATATCTTCATAAACTCTCAAGACAGAGACATGAAAAAGCCAAATTTCAGATATACTTTAAAAATAGGTTTCATTATGTAATATATACTTCTGTTTGATTTTATTATCCGTTTAAGATAAAAAAATCTGTATCATTAAGGAAAAAAAGGATAAAGGAGTCTTAGGAATATCTCCAGATAGTATTCATTTTGCAACACTTCCAAGATTCTCTGAGCTTCCGCATTCTCCAATTGTGCAGGTACTGCTCTCCCCTTCAACTTTACATTGTTTTTCATGACGTTCAGGTCAATGCTTTGGCAGAGGAGGCTCTGCTTTGAACGGACCCAAGATATATATAGTGCATTGTCGAGGAAGAACTCTTCAAGTTTACGTATGCCTGTACAATATTCCAAAGGTGAGAGGAAAGATCTTAGATATCTAAGAAAGAAATTCGGCCAGGCGTGGTGGCTCATGCCTGTAATCCTAGCACTCTGGGAGGCTGAGGCGGAAGGATCGCTCAAGGTCAGGAGTTCAAGACCGGCCTGAGCAAGAG